GGACAAATTTATATCTTTATCGTAACAGTACTTCTTTAAATATAACATTTCTAGCACAATACAAACGAATTGTAATAATAGACAACGAAATGTGTAAATCCACTTGTATATAGGTCGTACTTTATAAAACTTTAACTTATGTTAAGCCTAAGTTCGATAAAGAGATAAATTAACATTGTAACCTGTGTATTGTTATTTATCTGCTTGTTTGTTAATTTCTGGTATAAATTATTTTCCGATGAACTTCAGCGATACAAGACCCTTCTTGATTAAACCAGTTTATTCTTTCTTGATACAAATTTTTAGTACACAGTAATTCCACAGTCAGTGCGTTTTTCTTCACTTTAAACTTAACAACTTTTATAATACACTCTATAAATAACAGTGATTCACAATCTCGATAACTTCACTCTCAACGAGTACAAAACACACACTTTATATTATCCAAACCTCCGTGACTACTGTTCAATTAAATATCGTACTGTTACGTCTCTGTATGTTTGTTTGTTAATTTTTCTACGATACAAGTCCTTTCTTAAATAAAACTTGTTTATTCTTCTTCAATACAACTTTGCAATACACTTAATTTACACAGTTACACACACTATAATTCACAATAATTCATTCACTTTCTACCGCGCTTGACTTAATTGTCCGTCTCTATCTCCACCAGCCAGAAACTATACTTCCGATCTCTGTATCTGCTATCCCCGGTTCACGCCGACAGTAACTGCTGTCCTTGGTTCCCCACTCTCTCTCTTTCTCTACCTCCTTCTCTCTCTGTCCAGTGCACTTATATACGATAATGCTGCCTCTTCTAGAATCTTCTAGGCTCTCAACACGTACTACCAGCGTCACCTGACTTTTGCTGTCGTAACACACTAGCGTTTATCGCGAATCTTCTAGAATACTCGTCACGTGACTCCCACTATCGTAGCACTACCCCTTACTTAGTATTGTTCGTCCCGATCAATATCCACTTACATTAAACCAATAAACAATTAACAATAACTTGATTAAATGTACAGAATTTACAAACACAAAATCAAAATTCAACAAAGTCTTTTAATTTTACGGGACGTATCTTCTTCCGTACTGGTCTCCATCTCGTTGGCTCCTGCTTCAAGTGGGGTTCATCTGTTTCATCAGGAAACGTCCTATCATTGGTAACAGTTACATCATTGGTAGTAACTTCATCAAGGTCTTCACTGTTTCCCTTCTCAAAACCGAATAGAGTTTTTTCTTCGACAGTGGCTTTTGCAGGTGACACGTCTTAAGCAGCGTCATTTGTTCCATTGTTCACTTCATCCCAACTGAAATGTCCTGGACTGTGATAACGCCAAAGCCTGTTGGCATGCACCACCTTTGGCTTACCTCGCTGACCACATTTTGTTCGGAAAGTCACGTGTGAGAGATGATCCACTGTGTCATATGGGCCTTCCCATGGAGAAGACAACTTAGGAGACTTGCCTTTGGTCTTCCTGGAATTATACAACCACACATTGTCTCCTGGTACAAGGCTGACGCCAGTAGATCTCTTATCATAAGATAACTTCATCAAATCAGCAGACGTTTTCAAGTTTGAACGTACTTGATGGTGAATATTATCCATCCTTTCCAGTAATACTTTCACAAACTCGGACACATTTTCAGGCAACTCTTCATCAGGTGGGCGTGCTGTTAACAGATCCACCAGCAACCGAAGTTTCCGGCCAAACATCAACTTTGCTGGAGTATATCCAGTGGCTTCATGCTCTGCTGTCCTATAGGCCATCAATAGTGGAGGCAGTAAGACATCCCAGTCATCTTGGCGGCTATTACAAAAGTTTGCCAATTCCTGTCCCAGTGTCCAGTTGTGCTTTTCTACCATCCCATGAGACTGTGGGTGAAGTGGCGTTGTCCTGGTCTTTTGGATGCCAAACAACTTGCAGCATTCTTGGAACACAGCTGATTCGAAGTTATGGCCTTGATCTGAATGCAATTCATATGGCATACCAAATCTGAAGAAGAAATCACTAATAACCGAAGCTGCGGTTGTAGCTTCCTGATTTGGTATTGCATATGCCTCAGGCCACTTGTTGAAATAATCCATCACCACACAAATGTACTTGTTTCCTGCGCGAATTTGGGGCAGAGGACGAGCAATGTCAATGGCTACTCTTTCCATTGGTGCGCCAACTTGATATAACTTCATTGGATCATGTCCCTTATGCTTGGGTACCCTTTTAGCACAACGTGTACTGCATGTCCTGCACCATTCTTCCCCATCTTGTCTCATACCTATCCAGTAAAATCTCTGTCGTAGGTGACTCAATGTCTTCTTAACTCCGAGATGTCCTCCTATTAAAGTATCATGGTATTGACGCAGCACAACTTCCCGTAACTTTCTCGGTATAACCATTTATCAGGTCGTCACTTTCCCATCTCCGGAGAAGAATACCATCTTCAAGCTTCAACTGGTCCCATTGTGCTCAATAGTTCTTTGTCACAGGGCTTATGCTAGACACCTTCTCCCAAGCATAGCACAAAACACTTGCTTTTAGAAAATCAATTATTGGCTTCAAATCTTGGTCTTTCTACTGTTCTGCTTTGATATCTATATTTGTTTCCACTTCACCATCATCAACTCCTTCAGTCACCTTGACTTCACCTTGATGGCACCTGGTTAGTTCAACCTCTCTTTTTCAGCAATGTCAGGATCAGTTTGCACACCATGTTCACTTACAATGTGACCTAAGTAAAGCACCTCTTTCTGGAACAAGTGGCATTTCTTGAGATGGAGTTTGAGGTTTGCTGCTTTCAAACGCTTGAATACTTCCTCTAGCCGGGACATTTCCTCATCAAAAGTTGTTGCAAATACAATGACATCGTCCATGTACACTAGGGCTATCCTACATTGTAGGCCTTCCAATAATCTTTCCATCAGCCTCTCAAATATTGCTGGAGCATTACTTATCCCGAATGTCATCACTCGGTATTGCCAGAGACCTTGACCATAACTAAATGCAGTCTTAGGTCTA